AAGATAGCCATGATGAAATTATGATAGCAAGTTCTAAGTTTTAAAATTTCATCAAGTGATTGATTTCTGTAAGAATTTAGAATGATGATGGCGGGAATAAGAGCAGCGCCTGGTGTAATGGTTAAAGTGCCTGCCGCTGATGTTGCATTGTCTGGGTTCGATTGTGGAGAGATCCCCGACTGTCACATGCAAGTGTGGCGAGGCGTTGACTCACGTGTGTTCACATGCACTGTGTTTTTTGCAACAATAATAATAATAATAAAAGTAATAATAATAATAATAATAATAATAATAATGCGTCTCAGTCGATTGCCATGTCGCTAAAAAATGACTTTATTATTTTTATTATTGTTATTATTATTATTACATTATTGATCATCACCAGCACACACGGATCGTTGTGCTGAGATGACATTTTGCGTAAGAACTTCTAGTTTTCTGAATTCCACGAAATCTAAAAATTAATCTTTTGATGAAACGACGCCGTGATTGAAAAAAGAATACAAGCTTTAGAATCATTTAGTCTCGTTTCGATATATTTAGTCTCGTTTCGATATATTTAGTCTCGTTCCGATATATTTAGTCTCTTTTCGATATATTTAGTCTCGTTTCGATATATTTAGTTTCGTTTTGTTAAGCTGCTTTTGTTTTGTTTTGTAACGTTTTATCGCGTCACGTTTGTTCATTTTTTGATCTTACTCGTTACATTGAGTCACTCTGTCTCGTTACAATGTATCACTTTGTCTCGCTACAATGTCTCACTCTGTCTGGTTACATTGTCTCACTTTGTCTTGTTTCGTCTCGTTAAGATTTGCATCGCCTCGTCATGTTTCCTGTGAATTCGTCTTGCTGCTAATTAGAAAATTAAAAGTTGGTTTTTTTATGGGGGGCAGGCAAAAAATGTTATATATAATTAGGACTTTGAAATATGAAGATAGATTTGACGGTGATGATGATGGTGGTGGTGGTGGTGACGATGATGATGATGAAGATGATGGTGATGATAATGGAAAAATTGTAAACGGAAATGATGGAGATCATAAAATTAATAAAAATTATAACGCTGACGAGGATGATGGTAATGATGGTGATGATGATGATGACGGAGATGATGATGTTGATGATGATGATAATGGTAATAGTGATGATAAGGAGGAAAAAGATGATGAAGAAAAATGTTGAGGAAAAAAATTATTGAAATATTTAAAAAATGCATCTCATGTTTTTAATTGAAGTGCTTGCGTGATTAGGGAATTGACCGATAGTTTGACTGATTGACTGACCGGCTGAGTGAGTGATTGGTTAATTGATTGATTGATTGATTGATTGATTGATTGATTGATTGGTTGATTGATTAAGTGAGTGAGTGAGTGATTAGTTGATTGATTGATTGATCGATTGACCGATTGATTTGCGAAAAAATTATTAATAATGATTGTTTTTTGTAGGGTTGATTATTTGATGAATTGATCGGTTGAATGATTGATTGGCTTATTGGCTCGCTGATTGGTTGATTGATTGATTGGATGATTGAATGATTTATTGGCTGATTGATTTTCACATTCAGCCAATGATTAAAATTATTGATTCAATTTAACAAAATGATCGATGATCCGTGAAGTTTTTAAAATCGTTTCCTGCTGCATCAATCAGTGCGAGGGTGCCTGCAATTTGCACTGTACATAAAATTGAATCTTTACCACCGGGAAGAAATGAACGAAGTAATAAATAAAAAAATTATTTCTTTGAGGGCTATTTATTTCAATAAAATATGTTTCATGAGGTACTCCTCTTTCTCTCTTTCTCTCTCTCTCTCTTTCTCTCTCTCTCTCTCTTTCTGTGTATGGGAATGTGTGTGTGTGTTGTATGTGTGTATGTGTTATAACAAATTAACAAATGTTGACAATGTATGATTGTAGTACACCAATCAAACGACCGACAGTCGATAGCACTAGCGCAAAAACCACCTCATCGTCACACAGTCACTATGACGTCTTTTTTGTTGAGTATTTCAAACTTTCGAGTAAATGTTATCTACTGGATGCATTTTGATGCCTGCCCGTTCCTAAGAAAAGTTTTGATTAAATAACACACACACGCACGCACACACACACGCACACACACGCACACGCACACACGTTAATGTAAAACATTTAGTAGATGTCTGTAGTTTTTTGTTTGAAAGTTGAAGGAGAAGGAGAGAGAAGGAGAAGAAAGTGAGAGAGTGAGAGAGAGAGAGAGTGAGTGTTGGGTGGCCGAATAGTACAGGAGAACTTCGGACTAATAAATTTGTTATTGAGCTGCCTGGCTGGCTCTGTTCTGTTCAGATGCCTGCTGAAAATATATGTTAGGTGGAGATAAGTGCAGAGTGAACAAACAAACAATCAGTTAGTCGAGTGTACGAGCGAATGAATGAATGAATGAATGATGAATGAATGAATGAATGACTGAATGAATGAATGAATGAATGAATGAATGACTGAATGAATGAATGAATGAATGAATGAACGAACGAACGAACGAACGAACGAACGAACGAACGAACGAACGAACGAACGAACGAATGAATGAATGAATGAATGAATTAACTGACGAATGAACGAACAAACGAATGGGTGAATGATTGAATGAATGAACGAATGAACGAATGAATGAGTGAATGAGTGCATAAGTGAATGAATGAATGATTGAGAGAATGAATGAATGAATGAATGAGAGAATGAATGAATGAATGAATGAATGAACGAACGAACGAACGAACGAACGAACTGAATCATCGAATAAAGATTGGAAAAGAATAAATAAACTAAAGTAAAAACAGACGAATGAACAAATGAACGAATGAACAAATGAATGTGTGAACAAATGAATGAGTGAACAAATGAATGAATGAACAGATGAACGAATGAAATAATAACAGAATGTTGGTAAGATAAACTTCAATGCAATAAACCTAGATGGACGAACAAGTCGTAATGGAATCAACTTTTCATAATTGGCATTAATTATGAAGTTAATGATGGCCGTTTCTAATTGCTTCTTCAATTTTATTTAATTATTTAAAAACTTAAAAATTAAACTACTGCAGTATGTAATTAGCGGTTTTAAATTTCAAAATTCAAATCTAGCCAGACAGTAAAAGCCTGGATGCTAAGAAATGTTCAGCTAATTAACCAGAAATATGCAAATAGATTTACGTCTTGCGGGTTTTAATTGCAATTGCGAATTGTTAAAATATTTAGCCAAATGTCAAATGTTATCATGAAACATTTAAGCCTTTTAAAAGTTGAACGTCTGCCTCAGACTTCTGACCTAACACTTGTAGATTGAAATTTTTAAATTTTTAAATAATTTCATTCTCATCAATGGTTCTATTATGCCATTAAAAATTTAAAAATTTTAAAATGTTATCCAAACTTAACTCATTTTCATGTAGTTATTATTAATAATGGTGTGAACTTTACTGAAAATCTTTTGGAAATAATTAGAAAGAAGACAGACATAACGTCGTAAAATCCAGTAAATATTCTGCATGTCAACAGTCTTGTCTATAATCTTAATCAAAATTAACCATATAATCATCATTTTATAAGATATTAATCATCATCGTCATCATCATCACCACCATCATCATCAAAATCATCATCATCATCATCTTCACCAATATTACCATCATCTTCAAAATCATCATCATCATCAACAACAATATTACCATCATCATCT